GCTGACCACCCTCTTACATAACTGAAAACTACACTTCCTGTTCTCCCTTCCTTTCATCTCAAAAGATTATGAATATCTATAACTCCAATAATTAGAAAGAAGCAGAAAAACTTACATTTTAAAGATACAGAATGTTCATTAGATATAAATACAGATTTTCTGAAAACTTCATTTCCATTTATCAAATTATGTACATCTAGAAAATATTTTTTTCTCTAGACTGGATAACTATATTAAAACCTATAGAAAGAAACAATGTCCTTACATTGTATTTTGGGAGTTAAAAAACCAAATAATGAGAATATTTTATTTCCTTTGTTTTTTGGTCACTTTTGGGGGGGAGGGTAGGATGTTCTCTACCCTGTATGCTGATCTGAAAAAAAAAAAAAAAACAGATGTTTTCTCCTTACCCTGGAAAAGTTAGCACAAGGAAGGTTTGTATCAAACCCTGAATGTCTAGCTTTTGGATTTACTTTTACCAAAATATGTATGTAAAATACAAAATAATAATCTTCCTAGAATTTCTAGTGGCAGATGAAATAACAGTCTTACATGTAGTCTTCAGAAATTTCTAGTCATTCTGCATACCACTGTGGAGTGAATGTCCTGACCTCTGAGGGGTAGAGAAAGCCATACTGCTCCATATTTCAGAATTCTCCCTTGCCTTCTTATGGCAGTGAAATGTTTCTCAGTTATTTCTAAATGCGTCTTTCACTGTGTTAGATTTCTGAATCATGTTCAAGGTACGTAGCCCTGCCTCCTGGGTCCAGTACCAATTTTATCATAACTGTACTAAAATTTTTTTTCAGACCCCAATTTATTATTTTTAAATGGCGGCATCTTTGGAATTAGTATAGAATTAGGACACTAACTTAAAATACATCCCATAGCTGTGGTTTAAAAAGCAATTAAAATATTATTTATTCATACAAAATAAGATCACAAAATGAATTAAATGAAAAGCCTATACTAAAGACAATGCAATGTCATGAGAAAAGGGCTAAATATGGGCTAAATAACTAAGAAAATACCAATAAAATAGAAAGTAGACAATCACACAGGAGGCAGAAAAAGGAAATGGGAAACATAAAACAACTGCAGTATTTGCACTCAGAATAATTCCATCTCATTTAACAGACGAAATGTGGCAATAAAATTTAAAAAAAAAAAAACACAAAAACTCATAATTGCTATTTGTAAGACATTTTGCTCAATCCACTTCACTACAGGCCTTTTAAGAGTCCACAAGCCCTTTGAAGCACATCATTATTCAAACCTCATTCCTAAAAGTGAGATTCCCTACCTCCATCCCAGTTTGGGAAGCAATACTATGATGCTGATTCCTCTAGGCCTAAAAGAATATATCACCCCCTTGGCATGTGTTTCTTGGGTGGGCTGTAACAGAAGTACCACAAACTGGTGTGGTACTTTTGTTACACAAAATGGGCGGCTTAAAACAACAGAAATTTATTCTCTCACAATTCTAGAGGCTCTAAGTCTGAGATCAAGGTGTAGGCAGGACCATGTTCCCTTTGCCCTCTGAAGGCTTTTGGAAAGAATCCTTCCCAGCCTCTTCCTAGCTCTTCCTTCATAATCAAGAGTTTCCTTGGGGGCATTATTTTATTGTTCGTAGATCTGTTTTTTTAGGAAGAGCACATACATGTAGGGCGGACTACAGGAAAGCAACAAATATGAATATGGCATTTAGCACACTTTTTTTTTTTT